GCTGCTGCTGCATCATAGAGCTGGTGTTCTGACCCATGCCCTGCTGGGGCATCATGGGCTGTCCCTGTGACATGCCAGGCCCCTGGCCCATCATTCCACTCTGTTTCTGTAGAGGGAACCCACCCTGCTGACCATATCCTGGGCCATTACCCATGCCACCAGGACCTGAGAAAATAAATAATGAAAATTTGTCATTTCAGTAGAAAAGAAAATCAGTGACACAATGGTGGGCAATCACAGCATGAAAAGAAAAAAAATAAATACAAGATCAACAGGTGGCAACAACACACGGACCACAGTAGGCGCTATCGATGTCACTCTCTGACCACCCGCCACAAAACAATCCAAGTTCTGGTGGAGTTTACCATTTTGAAAAACCAACAGTCTTGCTCAAGGAATTAATGATTACACTTATTTCTCAATGTATCCTTCGGGTTCCCCCCATAGTTACTGAGAATTTCAAGAAGGCCATCACGATATCTTTTCCAATGATGCACTTTTTCGTTAAGAAAGAAATGAGAAAACGTCAATAGGTTTTCCTGCATACGTAATAAGTTTTAAAAGTTATTGCACAGCTTTCAAAAACTTTAAAGAAAAAAGCAACATGTCCCATAGTACACAAACAAAGAAAGAAAATAGCAGACCATAAAGGGACAAAATCCAAACACCCCCCACCCCCTCTATTTCAAATACACTTTCAAGTGAGATGAACTTCAAAAACCTGGGACCTGACTGGTACACCAGTAAAAACCCTGATCTATAAATTGAATTAAAATAATATCATTTACATTTACCTTAAAAGAGAGATTCAATTATTCGGGGAAAGAGAAGATGGATTGGATCTCATCCCTTTTATACTTTTCTCAACTCACCTGAGTTCATGTGTCCTCCTTGGCCAGGGTGTCTCATCTGTCCCATACTTCCACCACCCATCTGGTTGCCTGGAGCCTGCCATACACAAACACAAACAGTCCGTAAATGAAAGAAGATACTTGACAAGCACCCCCCCCCCCAAAAAAACAAAAAACCCAGAGAATAATAAGGTACAGTGAATGAGAAAAAGAAGAGAGATGGCCACACTATAAAAATCATACCCCACCACAAAAAATCAGAGTGATGAAGGACATAAAAAAGCCCCAATCTATAAAAAGAACATGTTATAGTCTCAG